CCTGGCCTAGGGAGGATTTTATACTGGGTTCATTTTAAGGAATTCGAAATAACACAACTTTAAAATTTGGTTTAATTCGGTTTTACAGGGGGGGATTGTATATATGCCTTTGTTTTAAATATGTTGTGAGCCGCCCTGAGTCCCGTTGGGAGAAGGGCGGGATATAAATTAAATTAAATAAATAAATAAATAAATAAAATAGGTTTCTTTGTTTGGTGCCCTCAAGTCAGTCTTGACTCCTGGCAACTGCCTGGACAAATCCCTGCAGTATTCTTGGCAAGATTTCAGAGGTGGTTTGCCATTGCCGTCTCTCTGGAACTGAGGACTGGCCCAAGACACACAGCTGGCTTTGTGCCTCATGTGGAACTAGAAGTCACGGTCTCATGGTTTACAAGTTGGTGCCTCAACCCCCACACCGAACTGGCTCTGCTTGGTAGGTTTATCTCAGGGGTCTTCAAACGTGGCCCTTTTATGACTTGTGGACTTCAACTCCCAGAATTCCTCAGCCAGTGTGCCTGGCTGAGGAATTCTGGGAGTTGAAGTCCACAAGTCATAAAGGGGCCAAGTTTGAAGACCCCTGGTTTATTTGATAACACCACCACCACCCCTGATTCAGAGGGGTTTGCATTTGATTTCTGGTGGATGAAATATCTGAGAAAAGGACCTTGTCTTTATTTTCTTTGGTCATAAGTAAAGAAGCACTACTGTCAGATTTCTCTTAGATTTTCTTGGATTCTTGCCACCTGGTGAGCAGTGTCCTTTATAAATCTTTACTCCAACTTTCTATTAACCTTTCTATTTTTCAAAGGTTTTTTTTTTACTTCCTGCACTGGATAGAGCAGGGGTAGGCAACCTTGGCTCTTTTATGACTCGTGGACTTCAACTCCCAGAATTCCTGAGCCAGCATGGCTCAGCATGGAAACCTCTCCCTTTCCCCTCAGCATGACTGGCTCAGGAATTCTGGGAGTTGAAGTCCACGAGTCATAAAAGAGCCAAGGTTGCCTACCCCTGGGATAGAGTAATGGATTTACAGAGTACTTAATGATAAAATTTAAGAGAAAATGGCATTATACTGCAAACAAGGGGCAACATTACTTTTTCACAAAGATTTTTATTTGTGGGAGAAATGCACACTAACACACAGACGTTTTGCAGAAGAATTGAGCAGTTCACTTCCTCATCGATGAAGCAGTGATCTCTAACTGGATTCTATAACGCTATAATCGACACAGTTATTAGTATAATTCAGTCTGTTAAAGTCTATACATGAATTCAAGTCCAATTTCCCATCTTGGTACAAATTCAGGCAGTGCGTTTAAACATCACCAGTCCTGTTTAAGACCTAAAATGTTTACTTTTGTGCTTTTACTGCGAATAATTTTCTGCAAAGCTTCAACCCCTTCACTACCCAGGTTCTTATTTAGATTTAACTTATCTAGTGAACCCAGCGCAGAGGTGGCGAACCTATTTCAGTGCTGGATTGAATTGGTGGTTAGCAAACACGTGAACCAGGGGTCACATGCCAGTGTAACTGGGGCCATACTACTGAAAGCCCTGAGCCTCCATCAGACCTGCTCTCCCCTACTCCCGTACACTTTTGACGAATGCTAATACTTTCCTTCAACATTTATTAACCAGATCCAGATATTGCCTTTCTGATTACTGTAGCTGAAAGAATATAGGCAGACCTTTACAAACAGCTTGTTTAGTAGCCATTAGAAGATACAACAGCACTGAAAAAGTGACTTATGACCATTGTTCACACTTAACGACCCTTGCAGCATCCCCATGGTCACGTGATCAAAATTCAGACACTTGGCAACTGACTCATTTGTGATGGTGTGTATGATTTGTCGTGTATCTCCTTGGCTTTGAATAAGCTTTCTGTGTTCCAGTCCATGCCAGGAGGGGGCGTGACTGCTTTAAGCTTTCTTCTGATGATAACAATACTACCTGGACCAGGGGTAGGCAACCTTGGCTCTTTTATGACTCGTGGACTTCAACTCCCAGAATTCCTGAGCCAGCATGGCTGGCTCAGGAATTCTGGGAGTTGAAGTCCACGAGTCATAAAAGAGCCAAGGTTGCCTACCCCTGACCTGGACTTTTAGCGAGATCAGGACCAACATGGTTTGATTGTTTTGATCGGAGGCTAACTTTTTTTTTTTTTAATCAAGTTTGGTTTGTTGGCTTTTCACAAAACAGAGCTCAGGATCTAACCACTGCATTGACATTGCATAGAATTGCTCAGTTTCTAGGAGACAGATGAACTAATTATTCTCAATTTTTGTCGATCGGCACAGACAAGTTTTCTTCTGTTGCAGAGTTTGTTCTGACCAGTCTTGTTGCTATGCAAATCCAGTCCCGTCTTCTCCCTCTCTTGACATTTAGCAATAAAGAGATTCAGCAGAATTCAGTAATTCTCCTCCAGATATTATCCCAACACCCGGGCAATCAGGTACATATTTTCTTAATATCATTGGCCTTTGGATCGCTTAAAAGCATTTGTGATAGGACAAATAGATATCCAAACAGGCATGCTTCATATATCTATATGAGAGGAAGTGTTTACAATTTATGTTATTCAGAGGTATAATAGTTCTTTTGATATTTTAATTTATAGAATTTTATTGGGGGAATGGGAGAGAATCCAGTTAACAGGGTTTTTATTCATAACCCTTCTGTGTTTTTCTACCGTATTTCCATCTCCCTAGCTGAGATGGAACTTTTTTCTTCTGCTTTCCTTATTACTCAGATTCAGCATGGTTTACTTGATTCCACACTATATTTTATCTTTAGCATCTTTAACTTTAACTTTATTTGTCTATAGGTTTCCTTTCAAATAAAGAATATTTACTATTAAAAAGATACCTACTTTGGTAGGTCAATAGCTCTCTTCTTCCTGCTGCTTTATTTAAACCCTTTAACTCTCCCAGTTTTCAGCTGGGATTTTTTTTCAGGTTGACAAGTTAATGGCAGAACTCTTTTTGTTGGGTTCATGATCTGTTTCAGTCATTACTACTGCATAGGTAGTCCTCGACTTACAACAGTTCATTTAGTGACCGTTCAAAGTTGCAACGGCACTGGAAAAAGTGTCTTACGACCAATTTTCACACTTACGCCCATTGCAGCATCCCCAGGGTCACATGATCAAAATTCAGACAGTTGGCAACTGACTCATATTTATGACGGTTTCAGTGTCCCGGGATCACTTTTCTGGACCGGGACGCCTTGCGCACAGTCACTCATGCTCTGGTCACCTCCCGCCTGGACTACTGTAATGCTCTCTACATGGGGCTTCCCTTGAGGAGCACCCGGAGGCTCCAGCTAGTCCAAAATGCGGCCGCGCGGGCGGTGTTGGGAGGGACTCATCGCTCCCACGTAACACCGCTGCTGCGCGAGCTGCATTG